ATAACCTCTTGGTCAATCAGCATTTGCCTTATTAACTTCTGTCCAATTACCATAAAGTCGGCATTATTAAAATAAAATTAATTAGTCACAATAAAAACTGTAACAAAATTGTCTCCATACACAGTGATGAATGAACACCTACCGGTAACTAAAGAAGGTACAATAACTCAAAAAATAAATCAACAAAATCAGTGATATACAACAAAAGCAATTGCTTTCTTTTATATGCCTGATAGAGTGCATACAAATATTGTACCTATGCACACTGCATAGAGACTGTTTAGTATATATCACTATGTTTGTAAGAATTTTAATTATTATAAATATGTACATATCAAGAAAATATGAAATGCTAATTAATTTAAAAATGTCATGAGAAAAATCACTTACAAAAACAGCAAATAGAATTTACAATATTCGTGTTATTAACAGATAGGATCAGGTTCTTAAGTATTCAATGCTTTTAAATTGGATCAAATTCGTTTTATCTACTGTGAAATACTTTATTTTAACTGGAATTAATTTTCGCTGAAAAGGCTTTTCAGGTGTTTTGTATGGAATTTTTTTTCACTGATTTTTGACGAGTTAAATGTTAAATATAGAAAAAAAAGGTATATCGCTGGATTTTATTTTCACTGAATCATTCCTTCAGCGAAAATTAATTCCAAGAGAAAATAAAGTTCAGAATTGTTACATGGTCATTACCAATGGAATATGCAAATTTATGCCCAGAAAAATAAAAAAAATTGGTTATTCTTTATTTTGCCAGGAATAAACAATGGCAAATATTAACATCTAAAGAAGTAACAACTTTAATGGTCAACTGAAAGTACCTTGAAAACAGTTATAGCTGTCACTTTACCATAGAGGGCGCACTTTAAATTGGAACATGAAATGACATTCATTCGCAAACACAAAGTGTGCATTTGTTTTATGAAACTTGAGATCAAGAGCTAAAATAAAATATATAAATAATGCAAATTATGAAGAAAAGCACTGTAATTATCTGTGGTATAACATCTTAACAAGTGGTGCTTTTTCAATCTGGCAGATTTATAATAATGTTGTCTTTCATGTTAGTTCTTACATTTATGTATAGAACTTTTTCGAAACTGAGGGCATTACTTATTAGAAATATGAATTAGAAGTTGTAACAATACTTATTGGATCAATAATAAGCATATGTCCATCATACAATATGCCATTCTTATTATGCACTGCTGTGAACTTGACAATAAAAAAATACCACATGAATTCAATTCAACTTCCACAATTGTCTCGCAGCACAGGTGTAAACAAAGTATTTCATGGTATACTTTGCATAAGATTTGTAATGGAAATGACACATTAAACTAATCATGCTTACGGATTCAATTTCAATGAAATGTAATGATTATGCACATTATTCAAATTAATCAATTAGTAAGCATGAATTTCAATTCAAAACTAATCAGGTCTTTAGCATTGTTCCCAGGCACTTCATATACCAAGGCTTACTGAAATGAAGTAATTGGGTTTTGTGATATAGGTAGAAAATTGGGATAATTAATATGCAAATTAAGCAATTATTATGCATAAATTTCAACCCAAAAGTAAACAGGTCTGTGTATTGTTCCTGGGCACATATGTAACAAGTTTTATTATAATGTGATGATTAATACTTAAAAAAAGACTTATTGATGGAAAAGCTGAAAACTGACTAATTTTTATGCAAATCAGGTAAATTACATTCCAGAGCATTCCAGAGAGAAACCCACGAAAGTCAAATTGTTGTGCAGAATTAATGGAATAATAAGCAAACATACAAATGCTTCCATGTGCGAAGTTGACGACATTCAAAATGTCCTTATATGGAGAAACAAACGCATGTGATTGATAGACAGATACACTAGACTGTTAAACTTGTTGGCACTACTGGTATTAAAAAAATATGTACTGTAAAAATGACTAATTTTCACTGGGTTTAATTTTCGCTGATTTACCAGGCATATTCAGTTGGTTTTAAATTCTTGGTTTTATCATTTAGATAATGTGTTCTAAGCTAAACTTTACATATTCACTGGGTTTTACTTTAGCGCATTTTCCAGCCAGCGAAATAAGCAAAATTAAAACCCAGTTAATAATTAACCCTTTTACAGTAATCAGTTTATAGAATGCTGAACTGACTGTACAAGTTTATCATACTTTTCTAATATGCTGATATTATCATAATGGTTTTCTTTTTTTTTATAAAAAGTCATCAAATTACAAATTACTTGAAAAATTATTTATTTAACCGAACGAATATTAATGACTTAGCATTCATAGCACCTTTAAAATCCATAATGCCATATATGGTATTAACACCTCAATGTGTATTGCCATATATGGTATCAACATCCCATTTTGCATTGCCATATATGGTATCAACATCCCAATGTGCATTGCCATATATGGTATTAACATCCCAATGTGCACTGCCATATATGGTATTAACATCCCGATGTGCATTGCCATATATGGCATCAACATCCCAATTTGCATTGCCATATATGGCATTAACATCCCAATGTGCATTGCCATATATGGTGTCAACATCCCAATGTGCATTGTCATATATGGTATTAACATCCCAATTTGCATTGCCATATATGGTATTAATATTCCAATGTTCTTTGCCATATATGGTGTCAACATCCCAATGTGCATTGCCATATATGGTATTAACATCCCAATGTGCATTGCCATATATGGTATTAACATCCCAATGTGCACTGCCATAAATAGTATTAACATCCAAATATGTATTGCAATATATGGTATTAACATCCCAATTTGCATTGCCATATATGGTATTAATATTCCAATGTTCTTTGCCATATATGGTGTCAACATCCCAATGTGCATTGCCATATATGGTATTAACATCCCAATGTGCATTGCCATATATGGTATTAACATCCCAATGTGCACTGCCATAAATAGTATTAACATCCAAATATGTATTGCAATATATGGTATTAACATCCCAATGTGCATTGCCATATATGGTATTAACATCCCAATTTGCATTGCCATATATGGTATTAACATTCCCAATGTTCATTGCCATATATGGTTAAATTCCAATGTTCTTTGCCATATATGGTATTAACATCCCAATGTGCATTGCCATATATGGTATTAACATCCCAATTTGCATTGCCATATATGGTATTAACATTCCAATGTTCTTTGCCATATATGGTGCCAACATCCCAATGTGCATTGCCATATATGGTATTAACATCCCAATTTGCATTGCCATATATGGTATTAACATCCCAATGTGCAATGCCATATATGGTATTAACATCCCAATGTGCATTGCCATATATGGTATTAACATCCAAATATGTATTGCAATATATGGTATTAACATCCCAATGTGCATTGCCATATATGGTATTAACATCCCAATGTGCATTGCCATAAATAGTATTAACATCCAAATATGTATTGCCATATATGGTATTAACATCCAAATATGTATTGCAATATATGGTATTAACATCCCAATGTGCAATGCCATATATGGTATTAACATCCCAATGTGCAATGCCATATATGATATTAACATCCCAATGTGCATTGCCATATATGGTATTAACATCTTAATTTGCATTGCCATATATGGTATTAACATCCCAATGTGCAATGCCATATATGGTATTAACATCCCAATGTGCATTGCCATATATGGTATTAACATCCCAATGTGCATTGCCATATATGGTATTAACATCCCAATGTGCATTGCCATAAATAGTATTAACATCCAAATATGTATTGCACTATATGGTATTAACATCCCAATGTGCAATGCCATAAATAGTATTAACATCCAAATATGTATTGCAATATATGGTATTAACATCCCAATGTGCATTGCCATATATGGTATTAACATCCCAATGTGCATTGCCATATATGGTATTAACATCCCAATGTGCATTGCCATAAATAGTATTAACATCCAAATATGTATTGCAATATATGGTATTAACATCCCAATGTGCAATGCCATATATGGTATTAACATCCCAATGTGCATTGCCATATATGGTATTAACATCCCAATGTGCAATGCCATATATGGTATTAACATCCCCATGTGCAATGCCATATATGGTATCAACATCCCCATGTGCAATGCCATATATGGTATTAACATCCCAATGTGCAATGCCATAAATAGTATTAACATCCAAATATGTATTGCAATATATGGTATTAACATATCAATGTGCATTGCCATATATGGTATTAACATTCCAATGTGCATTGCCATATATGGTATTAACATCCAAATATGTAGTGCCATATATGGTATTAACATCCCAATGTGCATTGCCATATATGGTATTAACATCCCAATGTGTATTGCAATATATGGTATCAACATCCAAATACTGTAAAATGACTAATTTTCACTGGGTTTAAATTTCGCTGATTTACCATTTCAGGCATATTCAGTGGGTATTAAATTCACAGTTTTATCATTTAGATAATGCGTTCTATGCTAAATTTTACATATTCATTGGGTTTTAATTTAGCGCATTTACCAGTCAGCGAAATAAGCAAAATTAAAACCCAGTGAATAATTAATCCTTTTACAGTCTGTATTGCCATATATGGTATTAACATCCCAATGTGCATTGCCATATATGGTATTAACATCCCAATGTGCATTGCAATATATGGTTTTAACAACACAATGTGCATTGCCATATATGGTACCATAGTAACATTTCAATGTTCATTGCCATATATGGTACCATAGTAACATTTCAATGTGCATTGCTATATTTGGTACCATAGTAACATTTCAATGTGCATTGCCATATTTGGTACCATAGTAACATTTCAATGTGCATTGCCATATATTGTACCATAGTAACATTTCAATGTGCATTGCTATATATGGTACCATAGTAACATTTCAATGTGTATTGCCATATATGGTACCATAGTAACATTTCAATGTGCATTGCAATATATGGTACCATAGTAACATTTCAATGTGTATTGCCATATATGGTACCATAGTAACATTTCAAACTGCATTGCCATATTTGGTATCAGCATCTTGCATGCATTTTATAACCATGTATGAAAGGTAAACCTGTACATACTCTATCCTGGTAATCGATATAATGTTCCCCAAAAAAATTAATTAACAGCATTTCTTCGTCTTGAATTCGTTCATTGAAGAACTGCCAAGAAGCCAATATGTATGCAATGAAACACAGCGGATTACAGAGAATGAGCTGCAAGGAAAAAAAAAAAAGATTCTCAGGTTAGTTAATGAAATTAGATGTAAATGTATGTATGTTATGGAAAACAATAGAACAAAAGATTCACTAGCTTTTCTTCAATCTTTTAATCTATCTTCACAACCCCCCCCCCCCCCCCCCAATGATATGTGGAACCAGGAAAGCATTACTTGGTGTTAATGAAATGACAAACATTATAGCATACACATTCACTGTGTGTCTAGAAATTCCCAAATATTTTTGACGTCATTTAGTTACCGATCTGTTGCCATAGACTTGGGCATAAAAACCAGCACGATTTTTTTACTTGTGATTAGCAATTTGTGAACAAAGTTTAGAAGAAATATTCAACATGAATGAAGAGGTCATAGTTGAAGCGTATTAATGATAGTCACAACAAACGCTGTAATATTTGACTATCCAGAAGAATAAAATGCTGTCCAATGATTAGGTTTCATGTATTGAGATGAGAGATAATAATGTCGAAAGTGACCAAGATAATAAAAATCCCTGATAAGTTGGGGGGAGGGAGCTTAGTCAAGCATGGCAAGCAAATTGTCTAGCAAAATTTGACGTAAAAAAAATATGGCATTCAAGATCAAACCAGATCTTCATTGATTATACATGTATTATCTAGAATGCGAAAAAATGAATACTAATATTCTTACCTGCGTTCCAACACTCCACAAAAACCACCCAACATACGAAGGATGCCGACACCATGCATAGATGCCTTGCGTCACTAACACATGACTCTCATCTTTTCTATACTGTATGTTGTGGTTAAAACTCTTTCCGGCCGTAAACATGGCCAGTTTACGTAAGAATTCACCGACTATACACAGTGCTAAACCACTACCACTAACCCATATGCATTGCTTCATGCCTATATAAAGTGAATAAAACTTGATAAGACAAAAATAAAATTTCTCCTGGTTTCTAAGAGTCATTGTGGTTAATACTACTTACCGTATTTGCTCTATTGGTAGCATATGTGATTATGTTAAACTACAGAGGTGTTTCTACGGTCATTTTTTAATTATTCATGATACAACACATGCAAATTTGTGTTTATATGTGTTCTATTGGAACAAATAAAGTTACTAACTTATGAAGTTTATAAAAGATCAAAATATTATTCAAATTCATGAAAATATAAATATAGTGATGTTTTATTTCTTTCTTTGAAAATGATGGCAAAACAAAGAATATTTTTTTCAGAATAGTTTGTGTTTTGTAGCGAAAGTGACATACTTTTTTGTAGCAAAATTTAAATTTAATTAACCATTGTTGACTGAATGCTGACAGAAACACACTGCATGTATGTGACATTTATGATTATGTATGTCTCAGATGCGGAAAATAAACACACTGACAAGCAGTCAAATATTAATATGTAGTAACAATGTTTTAATTTTTACTTTTGGTGCCTGAGGCTTGCTCAGCTGACTTGAGCAATCGAGGATGCCATTAGCCAATCAGAAAGCTAGAAAAGTGTACAATCACATACAACATTTTGGTGGAAATCTGTGCTATGATATAGTTTGAAACAAGATTGAGTTGAATACCGGTACTTACCAGGGAGAAGAACTGCCTGTAAAGTGTACTCCACCCAGCTAGCCATGGCTGCGATATGGTATGCTAGGCTATGGTCTAATAGGAAGGACTGTAGGGACAGACTTTTGGCATTATAAAGTGACGTACATACATATTCTGAAAGGAAGTTTAAAAATTAAATTAAATTGTTACTTAGTCTGTGCAGTGAATACACATAGAAAACTAGAGATCTGGAGACACCATTTATATTGTACATGGTGATTTTCTTCAAATCCTCATCGTTAAGTTTCTACCAGCCGATGAAATCTATTTTTTAACTCCACATAATGCAAAGTACAAATCGAGAAATAGTTTGGTACTTGTTAATGTGTCAATAGGATTTAGGATTTTACCTGAGAAATGGAAAAAGCTCAACACGCACAGGTACCATCCAAACACAGTCCAATTTGAAACAGCCAGCAAAGTGACGATGACTCCTAAGGCGAATACAACACCTAAAAAACATGCTCTAATTGCAATCTGAAAACAAATACATAAAAGTATGATTATATGTACAGTCAAGAAATTAAAAGATAAAGGTATGCAACTGATGTGATACAAAGTGGCAATCTCATTTGAAGCCATGAGAATTGCAAGATAATCACAAAATTCAAGCGTACCTACAATGTATTAGTAATTTGAATGAGTGAGTGTGAAGCAAAATGGTTAGTGTTCATCTGAGCACCGTTTATGGTCTGCAGTTGTTGCTTGCATTCTTTTGTACTTGATAACCTTGCTAATTTTGTGTTCATAACTTCCTAGAGTTCTGTGAACATCACAGACCAAAAATACATGGATCTTCATCGCATATAGGTATCTAAGTTGCATATACTTATCTAAAAAAAACTATGATATATATGGATCACATATCATCATAGATATCCATGTACTATCAACACTTACACATCTATTCCTTCCTTTTTTATAAATACTTATAAATTTCAATGGCAGTAAAATTCAACCAGCCAATCAATGATCGCAGTGCATAATGACATCATTGGGAAATGTTTCAATGTTATTCTATTGGCCAAATGAAGTTTTTATAAATATATATAAAAATTAAGCGAATGGGTCTGTTGTATTGATAGTATCGCACATCACTTTAGGAGGATATCTAAGCTAAGTATGCATATGCATATCTAATAAATCCTTCATATATCCCACCCATCCCACCCACCCATCCTTGGCATAGGAAGCGATACAGACTCCAAACCTCAAAATAAGAACGTGTACAAGGCACTGGTGTTGGGGTTGGTGTTGCATCTTGACAGTTTGGTGTGTGACACAGGTATACTATCTACCTCAATTGAGCAAATATCTGGCAATTCCTTCCATTGAGTCGAATAAATTAAATTAAATTAAATTAAATTAAATTATATTAAATTATATTATATTAAATTAAATTAAATTCAGATGTTTGACTGTCATTAAGATGGTTCAACATTGTCGGAATATCAATCGTAGAAACAATTAAGTCAAAAAATTAATTAAAGTATTGCTCTAAAACATGGCACTGAAAATAATATGATATCAGCATACTGGGGACACTTACCTGGAAAGAAGGGCCTCTAAACATAAACATTAGCAGAACCAACACGACTGCCAAGTAACACACACTTGCAATGACTGCATATTGAAGATCTAGAGCATTTATAACGCCCAAGCAACGCTCGCCGAGCAGAGAGATTATTAGAACTCCAAGGCCAAGACTAAAACTAACCAAACTAACGTTGCGAGCTGATCTGGCAGATTCTGCCGCAGAGGTCACCAACATCTTGCATTCGACGACGGAAGCAAATTACAACATGTTTATCGGATCCCTTAAGTTAGTTGTGATTGTTAAAATTAAGATTTACGTACACTGCCTTCTTGAAGTTTATATCGTTTATATTTAATAAAATTAATATCACAATAAGGTGTTTTATTTAAAAGTAAATCAAGTACGTGACCATATGCGGTGCATTCCAATATAAAATTAAACACCTTATTAAAAATATTTACCGTGCTAGGTGGTACTAGGTTATTTTAATAACCGCCATTTTGAATTTCGAACAGACCTCAACTGTTGAACAGTGCAGGCGTTATTCTTTATTTTGTCGCGAAAGGAGTAAGTTTATACATCAAGATGAGCTTGTCGCTTCGATCAGAATTTGCCATTGATAGGCCGAAACGTAGGAAACGCCGTGATCTGACAGAAGAACAGAAACAAGAAATCAAAGAGGCGTTTGATCTGTTTGACACTGACAAAGACCGGGCCATTGATTATCACGAATTGAAGGTGGCCATGAGAGCCCTGGGGTTCGATGTTAAAAAAGCCGATGTTCTTAAAGTACTGCGAGACTACGACAGAGAATCATCGGGAAAGATATCGTTTGAAGATTTCAACGAGGTTATGACAGATTGGATGCTGGAACGCGACCCACAGGACGAAATCATCAAAGCGTTCCGTTTGTTTGACGACGACGACTCTGGCAAAATTAGTCTGCGGAATCTGCGGCGGGTTGCCCGAGAATTAGGGGAAAATATGACAGACGAGGAACTACGGGCAATGATCGACGAGTTTGACAGGGATGGCGATGGCGAAATAAACGAAGATGAATTCATTGCTATAATGACAGGGGATACATAAAATGTTCTGACATTTGCAATCGGTAAACATGAACAGACACGATTCAACAAGGCCGTTATTATCCTGTACCACCACTGAACGAAACACAAACGAAATGGAATCGTCTGCCCATTCATTCGCCCTTCGCAGTTTTGTTTGATAGTTGCGCACCTGTTACAAACATTCTTCCCCTTTTCTACGTTTTTTCGCCGACGGATGACAGTAGGAAGATTTTATGACAAAACGTCGCGCTGCCACTATTCCGACGACTATTGAACTCTGAGGCACACTCAAATAAAAACGTGAATTTCTTGTATCACATATACGTCTTATTTTTACTGTAATTTTATGTTATAATACACTCACTACTAATAGACCGAACACCGGTATTTGTACGTATCCATTGGAGGAATGTCTATGTATATAGTGTCAGATCTAAATATGATCTTAATTTTTTTTAGATCTTTACTTAAATTTATGTTACTTTGGACTACTGTATTTTTATAGGTCTAATTGTAACCCAGTAACAGTTTTATGTGCAACTATCACTAAGTTTGCATGGGGGAGGGGAGTCACTTGAGGGTCACCTGGATAATTATTTAATCACCTTGAATGACTTTGATTGGATGATTGATTTAAATGTGTCCTTGTATTGACATGTTTATAAATATGATTGTTAGTAACAGAAGACTTAACCCAAGTGGTTCACCACTACAAAGTACGTACTTAACCTATTGTTGATTCAAATGTTATAACCCTGTCATACTTAATACATGTGTTATGCCGTCCTACAACTCTATGCAAAATTCCCAATTGGTATTTACCATGTCTGAATGGTTATTGTCTTGCTGCACATGTCTATGTAGCATGGCAACTGAAGTGTCTTGAATTCTGTTCGAGGTCAATTGACGCATGCATGCTTTGGTAACATGTTTTATGAATGTTTATGTAAATTTGTAAACTTGTATAATATTTAGATGTTCATGATCAGAACCTTCAGATTTCATGTTAGTTGTTAGGGGCATGTCAAACTAACCTGTTTTATAATAGTACACTTTATGCCTACCCTCCCTTTTCACCTGAATTGGAAAAGCTGTATAATAGCATGAAAGAAAATGGTTTTGTGTGGGTCTAATTTTTGCCTCTGTCAGTTACGCCATTCTTGGTCCCTGCAAAGGTCTTGAAAAGGCCAAATTTGTAGATAAACATTTCATTTCAAAATTTAGCTCTCGATACTCAGCATTTTGAAATGGATTGCAATCAGCTTTTAGTTTATTACTTGTTTACTTTGAACCATAAAGTCAAAATTAACTAAGATGTTTTGTAATAACTTTGACGAGTTGTGGCTCGAAGGAATCTGAGTCATTTGAAAATGTAGTCAGAAAACGTAAACCTCTTTCTATGCAGTAACTGAGTGATCTTTGCAACTCTACTTTAATACTTTTATAAAATACTTTTGTTCTAGATTTAAATTGATTGTAATTTCCAAGAATGGTCAATGTTAACTCGTTGGTTTTTAAACCCATATTGCTTGTACTGTGATTTATCGCAATGTCAAACTTGTATTCTTAAAATCATTGCACATTTCAAACCCTTAGAAGTGTATTGAATCCTGTGAATGCAGAAAGCAGATTTCAATTCAGAATACTATAACATTATTATTTCCATGGTGCCCGTTTGAGGAATTTCTTTCAATTGTTTGAATTCTTTGTTTGTATTTGAATCAAAAGCCTGGTTCCACAAAAAAAAACGAGGATGTGGTCTGACCTTTGTACCAGATACTGTATTGCTCTAAACACATCACCTTTTGAGGAAAAGATGAAGTCAGCAGATGGTTTGCTAAGTTCACTAGTTGATGTCTTTTTAAAGTATTAAAGTATTATTTTAAAGACTTGAAAGTATTAAGTGGATCTCACTAGTGCAATTGAACATTGGTGAATAAATATCAGCTTAAATATGGGGGTAACTGAGAGGGGATGAGGTTGTTTCTCAAACTTGATTTTTACTCAACTATATAACAAGTCTGTTTACTTCCAATTTAGAATTGTACAGTTTTCAGTGTCAAACCTTGAATTGCTTCTAATTACCATATTCTTGCTTTACTGAGTATTTTTTATTTTCATATTTGAATAAATGTAAATTTCTTGATTACCAGAAAACTGTTGGTGATTGTTACTGTGATCCACTTTTATATGTGATGAATATGGATGATTTAATGAGTTGTGAACTATACACTGGAGAGAAATTTGTTTTCATGTTATCACAAACTATTTTAGTGAATTTGCTACCTCCTAAACTCACCACTGTATAGCGCCCTCGGTTGATGACAATTTGTGGCTGTCAAATAATACAACCCCCATCAAAAAATAACTCCTGACCAGCATATTTTTTCAAATTATAAAAGAAAAAAAGGTATTTTGTTTTTTGGGGAAAGGGACAAAAAAAAAGAAACTGCAAAATCTTTAGTCAAAGCGCCCCCAACGTCGATCTTTTTGTGTCCAGTTTTCAACTGGCTGATGAGCATTCCCACCCAAAATCAAGGTGAGTCCCCCAATCCCAGGAATATCTTTTTGTACTTTTCTGCACAGGCGGACATCAACTTTCTTTGAAGTAAACTTTGCCTGAAGCATGGTGTATTTCAGTAAAATCACCTACTCGCTTAATTATTTCACCAGTCATAACCATATTGGCGTCTTCACCCATTTAAAACTCTACATATTGATTGATATGCTCGACTCATTGATAATTCAACCAATCAAATAGCCATGCTCATTTCAAGAACGCACGACTTCCGGGCCATATTGCAAACATAACACATACCGAATTTACCACTTTGCAATATTACTCTCATGATACAAAGAGCACAATTCAATGGTTACGCTGTCTGTATCGCGACAATGTGTCTATATGCAAGGGTAGATGGGTTAATGGATATTCTATTGATTTTTCTCTAATTTCAATGGAACTTGGTATATACATAAGCGTGGGCCTGGCTTGGGATTTAAATCCATGCTTGATAATTACGTAATTTTCAGCTCTCCCAACTGTTTGAATTGATTGTGTGCGCGAATTTCCTTTCCTGACTCCTTCGAATAGTGTTCCGTGGGTGCCCCCCCCCAATTGCAATAAGGAAGCCTTACACTGTGACAATAGTTTTTTTTTTCTATAATCAGGATAAGCATGTTAATTTAAAACTCTGGATTGGTGATAGATAGTAAATTTTGGACAGCAATTCATCATCTCTATGTGTGTTATTTCCTAAGATATCAGTTACTGTAATGGAACATACTTATTTATTATAAAGATCCTGAGAAAAAAGAGACTTGCATTTTTATTATTCCACAGTATATCCTTCATGGTAGATTTTAGATTGAGATTTTTAAAATCAATCGATAAAAAGCTAAGATTACTGGGCAACAGAGCTGTATCAACATATTACAGATGAAAAACAATTTTTTCACCCACCCCCTCCAACCCGTTGCCCATTCCTTCCTCCCCAGTGGAATGCTTTGCATTCACCTTGAAAATTCGAGATGTCTGTAACCTTTTATTTGGAAAACTATTTCCAGGGGTAATTAACTGATGTATTCAAATATCTTTGAATCCAGCAGATGCGCGAAAACTTATGTAAAGTTATAATACTAGTATCAGACGCGTTAAGACCGCCATATTGAATATATCAATGTTTTATCTCTACCATAACAGATAAAATAAAATATATTTTCTTATTAGTCATATTTGAAATATCCTTTGGAACACTAGTCATTCACATCTAGAAAACGAACTTAAAGACAGGTATAAACTTTTTGACAACGTGAATTTTACCAAAAATAGCCAAGTCACGTTTACATTTAGTGTATTTCCAAATTCTCTAATGGTTTATTGTAATTTAATTTTGCTGCCCATTTTTAAAGGGCTCAGTTTGCAAGTTGATGCCAAATAATTCCCCGTGTTAGATTTACGTGCCCACAAACTGACGTCACTTTCGAAGACCTAGCGACAAAATGTCGAACTGAATAACTGTTGCGTCCAAGCCTGGTTGCGACTAGTTCATCGGCAAGGGGCACACAAAATCATGCGTCACATGATACGTCTGGCAATATCGCCATTTTCAAATAATGCATAATGTGACGATATAATAATGAATCACTAAAAAAATTAGTGATACACATCTACCAACAAGTGCTTTCTGACGATGTTCGTCAGCCAAACATATGTACCAGCAATGTATGTGCGTTTTATCCAGAGAATTGACATGTATCTTAACAAATTTTCTTTTCACAATGAAAGAAATTTCGCAGGTCTGGAAATTTGGTCTGACTAATTTAGGCTAGAGAAAGGGGGGATTGAAAGCTGACCAGAGCCTGCTCCTCAGTGGGAGAATTTCTCATCTTCCATTCAGACTTGTTTTTGCACACTCTGCACATCTGCTGAGATGTCTGATCTCCTCCTACACTATTCGCAAAATTTGTCCCTGCTCTCCAAATCTTTCAGTGAATTTTCCCCTCTGTCCAGATTTTTTATAAGATTCTCGTAGTTTAAATGCATAAATATACACTACACAATTTCGTTTAACTATCATCTTCTTTTCCACGGTTTTTTATCCGTTCATTCCCCTCTCCATGTGCAGAACATGATTAAGCTGTAGAGGATGAACTGAATGGACAAATCACGTGTTCTCAAATAATCTGGAAAGATACTCCGTATCACGCCCCTACCCTAACAAATCTAAAAAAAAATCTTTACTCCAAGAAATTAAACACAATTTTTTCTGACTTCAGAAAATATTTCCCCTGTTCTCACAAATCTTCCTTGAACAGCGCTCTTTCGATTAACACCTCCATTGACTGAACCTGACATGATTACGATAACGGTATAATTTCAGTTTAAGTGTATATGAATATTCATGAGTTTATTTATTTATGATTGTGTGTAAAGTGGGTATCCATAATAAAATAACCAGACTGACGTTCCAAACAATTGTAGGATTTCTTCAAATTTATTAATTAAATCAGAGATTAAAGCAAACTGTCACGGTACCCCCTCTCTCCATAACGCCCACCCCCCAATCGCATCTAAACACAGACGATGTTTCAGATCTTACGCATATAACCGATGTCCATATTTGGGCCATGATATGACGTCACAAGTCATCTCCACATTGTCCCCTCCAGTCAATATGAAGATATGATATTGTATATCCTCTCCACGGTTCAAGAGTTAACCCTCACGAGTTTTCTATTTCACACGCAGCAGGCATGACGTCACTTTTAGCATGGCATGGACGTAACTACTTGGCACCAGCGGTGTCATCTCCTACCCAGACCAGCTTATCTGGCGAGCCATGGCTCGGGGAAAACATGAAGGTGAACACATCTGTAGTTGCCCTGTTTCTGATAGATTCCATTACGTAATCTGGCGTCTGGTTTGTCACATCGTGTACAAGCATAACTGCAGCAGCACCTAAGTAAGAAATATGCTTAAGTATTAATTCACGCATTGGTGGAATTTGGATGTACAATGCGACTTGTCTGGTATGCCGCGCCGTCTAGAGACAAAATGTCTTTGTGACGTCAAAATAATGTAGATTAGAGATGCAAAATGGACGATAATTTTTAGTATTGTTGTTTGATACTGTATATTTTCAGTACATGTGTATGAGCACGCTCTAATGTGCGGTGGTCGTCGCGAATTGTCGTGTTCAATATGGGTCCAATGAGATCTACTTTTCGTTTGTTTACTCAAAATTCGAACGTGTGTCACGTGATACACATCCATCCTATAACAGATTTCTACTTTTCAAATATGCGAGTATATCTACTAACCGAAAGATGAGAATTTGGTGCGGAAAGGAGTCAAAGCGGGCCTCCTGAATTAAGTTATATTTGTGAAAATAGACACAGAGTTTGAATGAAATGTTTGTCTTTGAAAGTCAGTCACATTGTAGATATATTTAAAGGATAAGACCCACAAGTACAGACCCTCAAAATAAAATGCGCGAAAGTGAGCGAAGAACAATAACTTTATTTTAGCTGTCAACAGATTTATGTTTTCAGCTTGTTCCGGAAGTGATGTGTTACTAATCTGGGGGATAAAAATGCAAATCCAATGGACAGGTTAAGCTATTCTCTCATCCGGACCCCCCTCGCAAAATCATCGTTGGTGGACTTACCGGCAACAACTGCTGCAGACGCGGACGTTCCCGTTACTGTCTGAGTGATTGTGGTAGTTTCCGTCCCCGCGGTTTGTACTGAGTAACCAGGGGCAAATATATCTACGCATGCGCCGTAGTTGCCATCAAGGGCCATATCCATGGGCGCCAACGGTGGATGTATTGATTGACCAACAGTAAAAACCTGTAATTATCACAATACGATAATTAATCGATTGGTTGATATGTACCATACATTAGTATATACACGCACATGCGCATCGACAAACGGGTGGACGGTTTTGCAATTCCTATACATACCACTAGGTCTTACTGGACCCAGTAACGGTTAGAAATTGAGTAATAAAAAGCCACCTTAAACCCAGGGACAGATTTTTTCTGAGAAATAAAATAAACTTATACAAAAAAAATAGTATTTAGTGGAAAGTATTTGTTTGTTTGATATTTGGCCCATTCTTCTGCAAAATATAGTTCCCTCAGTTTGTTCTTCACTGTTGCGTATTAGCCAAATTATCGACTTTGTACATTAAAATTCGATCGTTCTTCGCCACTCCGAAGTATTGTATGTAGTAGTATAGACGGCCTAAAACCAAATTTATGCTAGATATGCAAATGTGTCAACAAATGAAAGTGAACTTTGTCACAATCATACACGCCATTTGAGACTCA